ATCAGATTAATTCATCCTCATATCTCCTTGTGAGGTAGATGATTCAGTATTGCTAGCTGCATGGTACAGATGGGGAACCGGAGGCCTAGATGTTAAGGACCCAAGGACACAGAAGGAGTCAGTGTCAGACCTGGAACTTGGGAGTTATGTCCTCTCATTTTTATGGTCATACCACTAGACCACACTTTTTTTGTGTGTGAGACCACATATGTGTCTGGTAACCTGGAGTGGCCAGGTTCTTTTACAGACTCTTTATAGTAGAGAAGGAGCCAGTTATGGCTCCTTGACCCTTTTTTTGCCACAGTACTGGGCACAGGTTAGAGCAGCCTCAGGCTGCTTCAGCATGCCAGCTGGCAAGGCCTCCTAAGGGATCGTCTGCCAGCTGAGTATTCTAGCCGTGCCTCCTTCCCCTCTTCCCATTCCCTGTGCCAGAGGCTGTGTAGAAGGTGCCAGTTCAGGTGGCTGTTTGCGTTCTGGGAAGTCCCTCTAGCTGGGCAGTTGCCTGTCTCCATTGCCATTGTGCGGCCCAAGAGTGGGGTAAAAATCTGCCCCACTATGTTATCAGATGAACAAAAAACAAGTTGGCTTATACTGAAGAAAATCACCATTTCATAAGTAAAACGTATAGCTCTTTAAATGTGAAGCCTGATCAAAATAGGGCTCATGTCTTCTCATATTAAAAGCTTTTGGAGTGCACTGCTACGCTGTGTCATTGAATCTGTCTTCTGACTCCCTTTGGAAATAATAGACTAGTGATCCACATGGCTGTGAATCCATGTCAGTGAAAAATTATCATCCTGTGGCATGTTTTGCAGGCTTTATAACTGCTATGCTGGCCCTGGCTCTACCTTCTGGAGTGTAGATCCAGAAGAGAGCTTCTTAGAGTAGTATAAAGAATGTCATGAAAAACTGACCTGGCTTACAGCCACTCAGAAATTGTTGACACTTCATTCCTATAGGTGGTCTATGATGAAACACTAAATTATTTACTTTCTTCTTCTTAAATCAGTCAACTGTTACAAAACTCACTCTATGTACTTCTGCTTACAGGAATTTTGTTACGGTATTCCCAGTGAAACACTACTGTTTATTTCTTTATAATCGGCATGGAAGGAGAATATGCTTTTCATAATGGGACACTGATGAAAGTCCTATTTGTGATGAATTTCATGTTCAAAGAAAAAGAGAGGCTGGGTTCTAATGAAAATCTTGTGTGTGTTGAGTTATTTTGCATGTTGCACATCTCAGATGACTGTAGTTGTAGTCTTCCACTGTAATCCTGTATCCCAGCTCTCCTGAACTTTGGAGAAGTTTGAATCTGAGCCTTAAAATTGCAGTCAGACCTATCTCTAATGAACAATAAATAGTAGTTGTGACACTGAGCCAGAAAGGGTTAAGCAACTTGCAGGCTTAATGACCCAAATTCCACCTTTAGAGATATATTAGTATATAATAATTGTATTTTTTGTTTGTTTACATATATATTGTTAGAGGTTGACAATGTAACCAAATGGTTCCTGTCTGTCACTGTATTCTGTTAATTCAGAGATCAAAAGGAGATGTTAACATTTAGATGAACCGTGAATGTAGTAGTATCATTGTCTTCATTTCTCTTTGAAGTTTGTAGTAAACTACCTGTAAATGCAAAAAGAACAGGAGTACTTGTGGCACCTTAGAGACTAACAAATTTATTAGAGCATAAGCTTTCATGGGCTACAACCCACTTCTTCGGATGCATATAGAGTGAAACATTGAGGAGATATATATACACACATACAGAGAGCATGAACAGGTGGGAGTTGTCTTACCAACTC